CCCAAAGGGGCTGCCCCAGGGCTGCGGGTCGCTCCGCCCCTCGCCTTGTGCTGCCTGCCCCTGCGCTCGCGGGTGTCTGTCCCGAGCTGCCTGCGGGGTGGGAGAGCCTGGCCCTGTGTGCAACCCCCAGCCTGGAGATGTGGGTGTGTGGCTCTGTGCCCCCTTAAAAACCCCATAACCGGTATATAGCAGTGCAGGGCCGACTTAGCCAGTAGGCACAGTGCCTAGGGCCCGCTATACTGGCAGGGGCCCACGAAAATGTTTTAACGCGGGTGTCTGTCCCGAGCTGCCTGCGGGGTGGGAGAGCCTGGCCCTGTGTGCAACCCCCAGCCTGGAGATGTGGGTGTGTGGCTCTGTGCCCCCTTAAAAACCCCATAACCGGTATATAGCAGTGCAGGGCCGACTTAGCCAGTAGGCACAGTGCCTAGGGCCCGCTATACTGGCAGGGGCCCACGAAAATGTTTTAATATCTTATACAATCAGAAGGAAAAAAAGGGAACTTTTAGGGTCGAAGAAAATGTTTTAATTTTTTCTCACATCAGAAAAAAATAAAACTTTTAGGGACCATGGAAATCTATTACATTTTGCCTAAAACAGAAAAAAAAAGTTGAAGTATTTAAAGTTATATAAAAAATAATTTGTAATATATTTTTTTTTTATGGAGGAAGGAGCCCATGAAGGCAAAAGTGCCTACGGCCCATGAAAGTCATAATGCAGCCCTGATAGGCAGCTCAGGAGCAATTCAGATGCCGCCTAGCTGAGTAGTAGAGCGCCTCTAGCTAGTTTTTTTGTTTCTACTGGTGGTGCACATTAAGGATGCTAAATATGGGTTCATTTACTAGTTGAGTAGTGGATGGCATTTCCAGCGATGCGCTTGTGCCTTTCAAATTTGGAACTTTGCGTGTAGCCCTGGGGCCAGTGGGATGTCCTGCTGACTCCGGGCTCCACGTGGGTGCTTCCGCTTTGAAATGCACCAAAACCCCAGGGGCTCTTGTGCATTTCAAAGCAGAAGTGCCCTCATGGAGCCTGGGGTCAGTGGGGGACTCAGAGTCCCCCGCTGACTCTGGGCTCCATGTTGTGCTGCCGCTTTGAAATGCCTCACAGAGCCTGGGATCAGCTGGGAAGTCCCCAGCTGACCCCAGGCTCCACATGGTGCTGCTGCTTTGAAACGCTGTGGCATTGTTTCAAAGGGGCAGTGTCATATGGAGCCCGGGATCAGCTGTGCAGCACTGTGCCTTTGCAACATCACTGCAGCATTTCAAAGTGGCAGTGCCACACGGAGCCGCTGCTGCTAAATGTATTATTATGATGCAACACTATTTACACCACAGCTTTCAGACCTTTGAGTGGCTTTCACTAGAAATACAAGAGTACTGGTAAGAGATTGATCCAAATGAGTCAGGGTTGTGCTTGTCTCAAGAAATTTGTTATTTTTTTCCTGTTTAGTTAAACTAGACCCACTCCAGTCCTGGACCAAGAACAATTAGTTTTCAGAGGATTTTTCACATTCTGTTTCCTGTGTTCATTGCAGATTTCATGGTATCATTCTTCTTAGCCAGAATAAGCTCTGTTTTTATATTTCTTAGTAGCAGAATGGACACTGCTAAATGCTTTGCCGTTCTGACCTCATGCTAAGGTATTATGTCACAATGTTCTTTGTACAGAATCTCATCATGAAGTATAGTGTCACCTCACCCTGCAGGTGTTGAAACTACATGCTCTGTAAAAAGTTCTTATAATGCCTGTATTTCACATGAGTACTTTGTAATTTCATTGTGAAGGCTTAAGCAGAGAAAGTTTATAGGTATAAAAGGCTATCTTATAATATGCAGATGCCATAACCTGTAAGTCTTAAGTATCTGTACATCTTCCTTTTAAAACTAAGCTTTCTGACATAATAGCACATTCTTTTAGCTTGTTTTTAGTAATGTATTATCTGAATAATCAGGGCTCGACAAATCGCTGAATCTACTCGCCTGTGGTGAGTAGATTTCAGCTGGTCGCACCGCCAGCCCCATTCACCAGTGCTTCGCGTATGTGCAGTTTCGGTCTTGCGCATGCGCAGTATAGGGCTGGCAAGTGGCTCTCGCCGGGGTTTGTCTAGCCCTGTGAATAATCATATTTCATATTTTTCTTTTATCGTGTTTGTCTTTGGACATAGCATATCAGCGTAGTGATATGTGCTTAATCGTGTTTTTAATATATTTATTGAGTACATAACCTAAGAAACTAGGTTCTGTCTCAAACACATCGGCTACGTCTAGACTGGCCCCTTCTCTGGAAGAGGCATGCAAAGCAGGCAAGTCAGAATAGGGAAATCCGCGGGGGATTTAAATATCTCCGCGGGATTTAAATAAACATGGCCGCCGCTTTTTTTCCGGCTTGGGGAAAAGCCGGAAAAGAGCGTCTAGACTGGCGCGATCCTCCGGAATAAAGCCCTTTTCCGGAGGATCTCTTATTCCTGCTTGCAAGTAGGAATAAGAGATCCTCCGGAAAAGGGCTTTATTCCGGAGGATCGCGCCAGTCTAGACGCTCTTTTCCGGCTTTTCCCCAAGCCGGAAAAAAAGCGGAGGCCATGTTTATTTAAATCCCGCGGAGGATATTTAAATCCCCCGTGGATTTCCCTATTCTGACTTGCCTGCTTTGCATGCCTCTTCCAGAGAAGGGGCCAGTCTAGACGTAGCCATCCTGTCTTATAATACAGCTGGACCCCTTAGTTGCGTGTCTCCCATTCTTCTCGCTGTTCACAAGGACCTGTGATTTAGTCTCCTGGCAGGTATCCGTGGCAGTGTACCTGTGGCAGGCAGCTCTCTGTACAAGTGGCAAGTCTGTGACTTGGCACTGGATTGATTGGTACCCACCCTGGCCTTTTCATATGCCTGTCACAGCTTGTTCACTTTCACATGACACTGCTGGCGGAGAAGTGGTTCTAACACTTATTCTGCATCCCCCATGCAAGCTTCTTGTAGATGTCCACATTTACTTGGCTGATCCATAACCATGCTCACATGGTCTCTTCTCCCTACAGGCCCAGGTGATCCTGTATGTCCTGTCTACTCCATGTGTGAATACATGAGTGCTGTGTCTAGACTGGCAAGTTTTTCTGCAAAATCATCTGCTTTTGCGGAAAAACTTGCCAGCTGTCTACACTGGCCACTTGAATTTCCGGAAAAGCATTGACTATCTCATGTAAGATCGTCAGTGCTTTTCCAGAAATACTATGCTGCTCCCGTTCGGGCAAAAGTCTTTTTCTGAAAGACTTTTGCCCAAAATGGCCAGTGTAGACAGCACGGTACTGTTTTCCGCAAAAAAGCCCCGATCACGAAAATGGCGATCGGGGCTTTTTTGCGGAAAACCGTGTCTAGATTGGCCGCGGACGCTTTTCCGCAAAAAGTGCTTTTGTGGAAAAGCATCTGTGCCAATCTAGACGCGCTTTTCCGAAAATGCTTTTAACGGAAAACTTTTCCGTTACAAGCATTTTCGGAAAATCATGCCAGTGTGGACGTAGCCCTGTAGTGTGTAACCAGCATGGACTACTATGCAGTTGCACAAAACAATGTAGAGTTGTAAGGTTTGCTTGCCAACCCAGGCAATCAGGAAAACACTCATTTAAAAAAATGTGTGGGGTTTTAAAGGTGTATGTGTGGCAAAGGAGACTTCTAGTCTCCATGAGCCTTGGGCAGCACAGTTCACAAATATGTCCGCTGTGGTCCATGTTAGACACTATGGCTGTGTCTACACTGGCATGAATTTCCGGAACTGCTTAAAGTTTTTCCGTTTTTAGTTTTTCCGGAAAAGGAGCGTCTACATTGGCAGGCTGCTTTTCTGGAAAAGAGCCCCGATCGCCATTTTCGCGATCGGGGCTTTTTTCCGGAAAAGACTACTGGCCTGTCTACACTGGCCCTTTTCCGGAACAGTGTTCCGGAATAAGGACTTATGCCCGAGCGGGAGCAGAATAGTTTTTCCGGAATAGCGGCTGATTTTGTACAGTAGAGCATCGTTGCTTTTCCGGAAATTCAAGGGCCAGTGTAGACAGCTCGCAGCTTATTCCAGAAAAGCAGCTGATTTTCCGGAATAAGTGGCTCAGTGTAGACACAGCCTATGGGACAGCTGTTGAGGAGTGTTCAGGCTGATATAGATAAAACAATGTCACAGTTGCACTGCCTTGATCTTAGGCCATAATGATGGCTCAATATCGGTCTGGGAGGTGGTGTAACTATGGCACTCTCCCAGTGCTCTGTGTAAACCACCTCCACAAGGGGAGTGGCTAACAGCATTGTAGCCTGGTGCACGCTGGTATTTTACAGCACTGTAACTTGCTGTGTTTGGCAGAGGGGTGTTTTTCACACTCCTGAGCCAGATAGTTAGAGAGCTGTAAAGTGCCAGTGTAGCCTTAGTCTCAGTTGGCATAACAGGTCACTAATGTGGGTGGCAGACAAATTTAGGTGTAAATGCATGCGCTACAACTAAATCAATGCCAGGTGGCTTACAGCAATC